GGGCTGGCATGGGTTTATGAAGCCAGGCTGGCCTGCACCAGCAGGAAAAGGGGGAACTTGCCCGGCTCCACAGAGCCCCTGTGGCCGCCCAGAGCCCATGCTGTGCAAGGCTGTGTAAGGCTCCTTCACTGCTGCTTGCCAGCTGCCCAGCGCGGCTGCTCCACACAACCACTGCTGTCAAGCTGGGCAGCTCACAAGTGGCAGTGAAGGAGCCTCACTGCAGCCTTGTGCGGCATGGGCTCTGGGCAGCCACAGCAAACACTGTCCGGCAGTCGTGGTAGTGGGGGGCACTTTTCCCTCATGCTGAGCAGCGGTTTGTCCTGCGCTGCTGCTGCTCAGACCAGATGGGCAAGCGCGGGGTGCACAGGGTCAGGGCTGCGCACACTTGTCCCTGCCTGTACTGCAGGGCTGGGGTGGGGGATGCTGGGAGTGAGCAGGCACACAGGAGCCAGCGACAGCTAGAGGGGAGTGCAGGGCCTGCGTTGGTGTCCCAAGGTCAGTACTGGTGGAGCCCAGAGCAGGGTGGCAGGGGCTCTATGGAGCTGGGCCAGTTCCCTCCTCTCCCTGCTGGTGCAGCCCAGCCCAGCTCCATAGACCCCTATCAGCCCATGGCCCGCATTCTTGCTCTGGGCCCTGCTGGCACTGGTCCTGGGACACCAGCATGGGCTGCATGCTCCTGCACACCCACTTGTTTCCACTCTACTCAGCCGCCGCTTTCCCCACTTTCCTGCCCACCCATCAGCTGCTCTGCACCACGTGGCTCCCAGCTGCATGGCCAGACCATTGAACTTAGCAGGAGCTGGCCTGATCCTGAGGACTGAGGCGATTGCCCTTAGTCCTCCCCTGCCCCCCCACCTCCTCCCCTCCTTCTTACCTGAATTTCCTGCTCCTGCACAGGGAGATACGAACAGCCCCATGGTCCCAGGCCAGAAGCCTCTGCTAGGCAGGGGCTTCCAGCTGGGGTGGCAGGGCAGGTCGGGCCTTGCTGTTGCAGGAGTCTGCTGTGGCTTCCCCTGGTTCCTAATGCCCCTGGCTCCTGTCATCTTTGACAGGTAGCTAGGGGCAGATAAATATTAAGTTTCTAAATTTTTGGGGAGCCCTGCAGGATCCAGCCCATAGGCCATATTTTGCCCACCCCTGGATTATGTTATACTTCAGGTGCAACCATTTTGCTCTTCCTGAAGGGCCATTAATATATATGAAATAGGGTATGGGGGGATATCTAGACCTAGTATAGCTGTGCTTTCAGGGGACACAGAGCCAAATGGCTCTCAGATGATTGTACACAACAAAGACACAGACTGACCAGTCATAACATGTTTTTTTCATATCCTGTATAACCTGAATTCATCCACTTTTAGGGCCTCCTCCAAGCCTACTGAAATCAATGGAGAGAATTCCAATGATTTCATCTGGTTTGGCATCTGACCCTCAGTATCCTGTATCCTAGCTCCCCTACTTTTTTGATCCACAGCAGTCTGACTTGTGCCTTTCTCTCAACCTTAAAGGTATCCTCTCAGCCTTACATATATCTTTTCTCCCTGCAGTACCTCCCCAGCTCTGTGAATCAAAGTTGCTTGGTCTCTCATCTTATGTCAAATCCTGAAATGCCTTTTATCCCTGTGCCTGCTGTACTCTGTATTCCCTCTCGGTCTGCAGTGGCTTTTCTGTAATGCAGGGCCCCAAAGTGCTCATGGTGTACTTCCAACAAAATCTCGACAAAACTCTGTTATAACCTTCTTTAACTTATAAGAGATCTCCCTATCTATAGACACAACTCAGGAATTCATTTGCTCTCTTAGTAACAGCATTACAGTATGAACTCATAGTAAATATATTCACTAGTCTAAGCTGTGGGGCTTTCTTTCTGTATGCTACTTTCTAAATAGTAGTTTTCCATTTCTACTGGAGCTGATTAGTATTGCTCCCTAGGTACAATACTGTTTATTTACCTATTCTCAACCTCAACTCACTTATTGCTACTTAGCTTTCCCAGCCTGCCTATTCACTGCATCACCTGGACCACCTCTCTCTGCTACCCAGACTCTCTTGAAGCTTGGTATCATCTGCAAGCTGAGAACCAAACTGTGGCCAGCCCAGCAGGACGTCCATGGAAGTGTGAAAGGTCAACACCCCTGGAGCCTCTGTGCACAAACCAGCCACAACATCGTTAGGGAAAACATACTGAGTACCTTGTTCCATTGATTGCTGCAAGGGTGCTACCTGTTTGCAAAGGGATGCGGTGAAGGAGAGTCCCTTCAGGTTGGTCATAACACTTTTTGGCTGTTCGGAGATATACAGTGCACTCTCTCACTGGTTGATAAAGCCAATACCCACAATTCAAGCATTAGCTGAAAATATAGATATAAGTGATTTGTTCAAGATCACAGAGCATTAGAGCTTGGGAAAGCAGAGACGATTGTTCTGGGTCAATATGTTCTTATGTTCTGCATGAATACAGATGCCCTTATTTACTGTCTTTCACTTACATAGATTTTAACCTATAACATACGCATCTGCACTGTGGCTGTTACATCTTGGTGGTGGTGCAAAACAGTGAAGCCTGACCTCTCGCTGTGCGGTGAGTCTCGCAGTGAATCCACAGAATCCCTATATTGCATCATGGGTCTTCTTGAGTCCTCAATGCAATATGCAGGTCCTCGGCGGGCACGAGCCTCAATGCAGGCAGGGCTGTTGCATTTACTGGTTCCCACTGAAGATAACATGATGCCAGACTGGGAATCAGAAGTCAGGCTCTCTGTCCTCTCCAAGCTCCATGTGTGGCTTTCATGTCTGTAGATCAAACCACAGATCAAGAGAAGTTTGTGGGAACTTTTGTCATTTGCTCCTACAAAATGCACTGTCATGCAAAAACTCATTTGTTCTACTGCATCCATTTTACACTTCATTCTGTGCTTTGCTTGACTCAAAGGAATGTGTCTTGTTACAGACCTGATTTTTAAAACCTGGCCTTCATTTTTTTTAAATTTACCTATTAAATGTAAGTGTAATTATTGCTGGTTATACAAGAAGACAAATAGAAATGTCACAGCCTTATTGCACTGATAGATCAGTTACTTAAACATGTACACACCTCCATTCATACCCACGTTACATATACCTGCAGAGCTGTGTTTCCAGTTAGATACACAAAGGGTGCTCAGTTTATGCCCACTAGAAAAGTGAAGTCCAAAGATTGCTGCTTCCTTTTTGCCTACAGCATGACTACTGATCTAAATACTGAAGTCAACGGGAGTTTCACCAAGGGACTTCACATGTGAACATGCATGTGCCGCAGATAAGGAATTCCATTCAGTGATGGCTGTTGAAAGAGGCCAATAAAAGTAGATACCAAATAGTATGCTGAGACTCAGTACCTCAATAAGACTACAGTGTTTTTGACTTAAGGCAAGGTAGGTAAGTCTTTTCTGACTATCAGTAGGAGTTTTCTTTGATATCAGGGGCTGATTTTTATAGTTGGAAGGAACAATATGAAATCAAAAGATCCAGCCTGGGAATCTTTTGATGCATGCACACTGGCGTTATATGTGCCAACTTACTTCTGTGCAGACAGCTGGAGATGACATATATCCCTCATGTTTTGAGTTGATCAGCCCAATATTGGGAATATGACCATTAATGGGAAAAAGATCTTCTCTGTGAGTAATAGCCCCACACTTCAGAAATGGCAACCTGTCTCTGGTCTGGGAGTCAAATTCTCCAATGGCTTCATGTCCCTGAAATTGATGGAGTTATGCCCACATAGAACCTGGTCCTAGGTTGCAGATGAGTGCTTCCACAAGATGACAGTACTATTAACAGCTTTCAAAGGATGCGTTAATTATGAAATATATTTATTACTGATGACCCAAGGCACACTCTCACCTACAACCACCAAATTCATTTGCAGTGTCAAATGGTGTCCCCATAGAAAAGAGAATGAGTGATATGGAACACTCTTTTGGCAACTGGATGCCTCTCTTGCTCTCTAGATATCTACCTGCATCTTTAGGTGGTGTTTAAATACCTTTGTAAATCTGGCCTAAAGGCCTAAACATTTTGAAATGAGTTCAAAGGACTTGGTGGGAGCATGCCAGACAGCTCTATGCTTGCACATGTACCTCTGGGCACACAACTAAAGCCCTGTGTTTTGTATGCGCAACTCAGGAATGCAAAATGTTGTGTGGATACCTGAAAAATTCAGGTCTAAACCACCAAAATTTGTGAACTAACAGAATGGTAACACTGCTGGAGGTACATGAGTACCTTCAAAAGATCTTTTGTTTTCTGGAACACTTCTCAGAATATCTACAATGCAAACGATTAATCAACATCTACCAAAATTTAGGATGTGGACATAGGAACACTTTACCACAATGTGATAAGAAGCAGGACTTTACCACACATCAGCTGCTCTGCAGTGACTGTCCATATGTATGCTCTTATCCCAGAAAAACAGGAAGTTATAGTGTGGTGACTCCCTCCTCTTTCACTGAGGACTAAGCTGCTTTAGCTTACACTTAAAACAGGGTAAGAGCATACACATTGGCAGCTGCCGCAGAGCAGCTGACATATGGTAAAACTCTGTCATAAAGTACATTTTTCATATGTCCATAAACTTAGAGTGGATGACTGGCAAAAGTGAAATCAGAATCAGGCCTGAGACCTTTTGACTTGTCAGATGATCTGCCATTCACCAACAAGATATAAACATGCCAGTGTCATCTTACAATTATGTCTCAGTGTTGAATGCTTTTTCAGAGTTCCCTCACTAGAATAAACACAGCTTTCATTAGAATAAAGGAGACAGAAAAATAACATCCACAAAGAAAAAGGCAGAAAGACATCCATTCTGAGCCATTCTCTAGGGTATCTGAGGATGCAACCCAGGACCTTCCTGGACACTGTAAAATGGAAAAGGTTTATTTGCAATTTGAAATGTGCTTGAAAAAGGTCATAACCCCAGTTTTATAGATGCATAGTTTTTTCCACCTCAATGAATATTTTAAAATGTGGAAAAATAACATCTTGACAGTCTCTCTTAACAAGAACTACTGCCATTTCTCTGATGACCTACGATCACACACATAACTGAGACCCAAAATGTTACAGTAGCCCTAGAAAGTTCTACTTCTGAAGATACAAAAGTCCAAGAATTTGACATTTTGAACCACATTGGCCTGCAATAAGTTGCATGAAGTAGTGTTTGCTGGTGAAAATTGCACTTGCCAAATCAGACCTGAACTTTGAAGACCTACACTTATATTTAAGAATGTTTATAGCCCTCTATACTTATATACTACAGGACCTAATAGGGCAAAATATTCAAACATTAGTAAAATACACTACATATATGTTTATCTGTACATGTGTAATAAATTATTTATCTTCAGACACATGCTTTCCTACTTGTAGATACTTCCATTTTGTGTATGTGTATGCTGCAAAAGTACAACCCAGTTTTTTCCATTTAAAGTTTAGCTCTAAACATGCCACAGCAATCATCTGAAGTAGTCTTTCTATGACCAGACTTAAAAACCCAACTGGAGAAAAGGCATATTTGCAGTCATAAATTCAGAAGAACACATCCTGCGGCTGTGAGAATATACACCTTACCTGTAGTATTTAAAAATGCTAATAACCACTGGAATATTAATATTAGAATGAATTTTATTATAATTATTATAATTTTATTAGATTAGTCATTAGTCATAGTGAGCCCAGGCCTATCAGTCAAATCTGAGCTTTTTGTGATTTTGTAAAAATCCTGTCAACCACACCTTCTGAAACAGAAGTTACCCAGATGAGTCCCTGAGCCCATCTCAAGTACCTTCTGATGAATTTAAAGCAACAGGACTGTAGTACGCAAATGACATAAAGGGTGAGCTTTTCAAAATGATGCGATGTAGGACCCTAGGTCCCTTTTACAAAAATGGTTTACATGCTTAGTGCAAGATCTGTAAAGATATTTAGGTACCTGAAGACACCTATAGGTACCAATGGGATAGTCAAAGGAAACTGCGTATGTCAAGCAAGTAACTGCCACTGAAGGAAATGTGAGTTGGCACACTGTGTTAGACACCTAACTGAGTTAGATACCTAAGTACCTACACTTTTCAAAATCTTATTTGTTGTCTTTCTGCCCTTTTGTGTATCAAGCTACATTCATAAACTTGGCCCTAAGACCCCTTTGTAAAGTACTTTAAGGCATGATGATGGAAATTTTCATATGAGAGCTAGGTATTATATAAATGGAGCCTAAGGCCTCTCCGCACCACAAACTTGCTACTTGGCTTTGTTTTTCTATGTGCACTACCTCCCAAACTGAAAACAGCATAGTGGTATTTATGGGGCAATACAGGAGGACTAACTGGCTCTATTGAGAAGCAGGGCTTATTAATTTGGGCACAGTGCTATGCTATAGTGGCTATAGTGCTTCCAGATTCAAAAGTAGCACACGTGAAGGTAGCTTGGCTATTTCTTAATGGCACTGCCCTGTGCTCTGTGTAACAACACAAACATAGGTGATACCCTGCAGAATTATCCAAGCTAGCTCTGCAGGTGGCAGTGAAACTGCATTACTTCAGGGTTGCATCTGTGCTACTTAGCTTTTCCCCTTCACAGAAAAAAATAACCTGCTCCAGCACTGCACTAGGGTCGCTAAAGTATTTTCTGTTCAGAGGAAGTATATTGCATGCATTCTGTAGGTACAAGGGGGTGGATCCAGACAGTGGCAGGGTCACAGCCCCTTTCAACTGTGCCCTCTCAGTGTGGGGCCTGGATGGAGGCCCTGCTCCCTCCTCCTGGGCCTTCCTGGCCCTGCCACTACTGTTCTTCTCTTCCTTTTCCCTGCTGCTAAATTCAGTGGGGACGGAAAGAAGGGGAAGGGTGATGAGCAGCAGCACTCATCCTCTGGGCTCCAGAGCCACAGAAAACAGGGGCTTCAGCCAGACCCTGCCCCAGTAAGCTGGTAAGCTCAGAGTTTACTGTTTATGCAGAGCTCTGGCAGGAGCCCGTGTTGACTAGGCAGACAGTGCAGAGTCCACTGTGCAGGCACAGCACAGCCAAAATGGAGGGATCACCTGGATCTACTATAAAGGAAGAACTTTCTTACTATAAGGATGGCTAAAAATTGGAACAGGCTATCTAGAAAAGTTGTGGAATCTCCATCCCTGAAATGTTCAGGGATTAGACAGATACTTGATTGGCATGGTCTTGCCTTGATCTGGAGGCAGCTGGACTAGGTGACCTCCTGGGGTCCCTTCTATCTCTTCCTATGATATATACTATAACAGAAAAGGATTCTGGTTTGGACATAATCTATGCCATGAAATATGTACTTTTGCCCACATAGCTTCTTCCAGCACTGAAAAGTAAGTGATGCCAGCAAAAGCGCATTTTTGACAGAATAATTGCACCAACGCTGTGAGTCTTTGCCAGCATAGCAAGGTCAGTCTGCCATCACACCTCTTCACAACCATAAATGAAAGAGCTGGCACTACAGAAACCTACAGTGTAGACAGAGCCTAAATGACAGTATTTTGCAAACGTCCATGAAAAATGACCATGAAGATGAAAAAATATGTTGTATTTGCTTTGAATTAAGCAATGCTTGTGTTGCTAAAATTATTCTTAGAGTGATTGTATGGCTTTATAGGGAAATGGCATACATCACCTCTGGCTTGATGTTGGAGTGCCTGTGGAACAGTGATGAGACGGTGAGCAGGAATGACTTCCTGAAAATGTTGTCTCTGCTTCCCTTCGTATCACATGCTCAGTGGCAGGAACATTTTTAGAAATATACTGTAATGAAAAGTATCCCAAAGATCAGCTAATGATATTGGTTAAATTATATTATATCAACCCATGTAACAAGCATATGATGGCATGCAGCTCAGTGCTCAGTGAAAAGAGAGAAGTAACAACAGTGTATCCAAAAGGTTAAAAAGTTGTGGCTGTTGTGTGCCTCTGTTCTGGCCTCTTCAAAATGCCAAGGAGTATGAAGGGGTGTGAAGAATACCAAGCGCCTTGAAGACATGGGGTGTAGTTCAAATAATTATGTTCAGATTTTCTGTGAGCTGGCAGTGATCAACCACATACTTTGCATGGATTATGCCTGCTCATCACCAAGAGAGTTTACAAGGTATTGCTGGGGAATTCTCAGGGCCACAGAATGGTAATGTGGCTGCTTTTGCTGATTCTCTTTCTGCACTCATGACTGTCTGTCTGCATAACTTTTTACAACATATCTATCTATGTTTGGTGCAGCTGTCAAGTAATTCATTATACTCATGACCAGTAATATTCTGGACCCTTATGTACAATATATTGGACAGCATATACTCTATTCTATGCAAAAAATGCTAAGAGAATGTGATGGTTTGAAATCAAGTAAGTAAAAATTAGAATACCAGGGCTCGGACACAGGCGGGAAACTAGTCTGGTGTCTTTACTGGCTATGAATCTGAGTCCTTCCTACTCTTATTCTTTCCTGATACAGAAAAGCACTTAAGCAGGTTGATAACACCATTGAATTCAGTGGGACCTCTCACATGCATGAACTTAACATGGTTATGTGCCTTTCTGAAGCATAAGTTCTTTACTGAGCCCATCATTGTGATATCTGAGTTCCCAGCAAAAGTGGTGGACTATAGTTCTGTATGAAATGCCATTTATATCTACACAACACGACAACAGCAGCAGCCCCAGCCGCATTGTCAGCACCCTTGTCATGCATGGTATTTGTAATGTTATAGAATGATGCATTTGGGGATATCTTAATGAACAGAAAATACCAGGAATGTCTCACAAAGAGGGAAGCAGAATTAAATATGGTCAGTTCAAATATTTCTGCTCTGAATTCCTTGCCCTAAAAAGACAAATTTTGACTTTAAAAAACAAGTTTCCACTCCCATTTTAACTTTGGAAAAGGACCCGTGCATTTCTTCATTTTGATTTTTTTAATGTCACACGTAATAAACAATTGCAGCCTGAACAATATGTCTAGTAGCCTCCAGCACTGATTTACATGAAGGGCACTTACATCAGCCATCTGAATTTCTTCAGGATCCAGCCGGGGATGACTAGGGCCATTTGCAAGGTTCCTGTTCTGATGGGCTGGGCACATATTTTGCCGTAAATGACTATGCATTTGCTTTCGTTGTTTTCTGTTAAAAAAAAAGTAAAAGCAAGAAACAGATTAAGTTGCTTTAGTTAGACTTTAAATTTTAATAACTCATTGGACTTTTCAGGCCCAAGATGTTCAGAGGAGACAAATAAAGGATGTAAAGGCAAACTTTTAACTCTCATTACAGTAACATTCATTACTGTACTTACTGTTGACTGGGCTTGTGGAAAATCATGAACACAAGAAAAGTGAATTCCCCAGTGTTCGGAACTACCTACAATTTTCATGGTTTTCCAAAGCTTCTAAGCAGATATGGGCCCAAACCCATGGAATATATTGTAAAATTTGGATTCAGACTCAAACTTTGTAGCTTGGTTGCACTCAGGGCAGGATTCTGTTTCACTTTATGCTCCCAAATGGCACTTTTCCAGCTGTGTATATGGCATTCTGGGCACTTTTGCACAGTTTGCAATCCTACTGCCTATGCAGTGTGGATTTGCAAGCATTAACATGGCAAGTAAACTTGTGCACAAGGCTTGTGCTATCTAGGCAGGTATGCTGTCACATACATGCATACTGGGTGGGAGTAAGTCATAGAATTCTACCCAGCAAAAACTCATGTCCAGTAGGTGCCAGGGGGAAGGAGACCTTCCTAGATCCCAGTCTGGTGCCATTTTTTCTAGGTTAGAAGTCCTGTTCCACGCTAGGCTAGAAGTTCAGTTCCAGTGTAGACTAGGCTAGAAGTCCTGTTCCAGTCCTGTTCTACACTTCACACCAGCACAGAGTGAACAAGAGCCTTGGTCCTCTTCTGACTTCAAGGGGAAACTAAGGCCAGGTGAAGACAGATTTTGAACTCTACATTCCTGCTGTGTTAGACACTGCTGTTTTGCAGATATAAGTTGGGTAGTACTATCAACATCTGAAGTATTATTTAGGTCCGTAAGTGTCATAGCTGGAGGTATGAACCCTGAACCTCAATCTTGTTGTAAAGTTTGGTAACTAATACTTGTTGTTTGGCAACTAATACTTACTTGGTTTTACAGTAAGCCACCACACAAACTATTCCAACCACAAGCAATGCAACACAGATCCCAGTGATAGTTAAAACCCTCTTCTGGTAAAGTTCCTCAGCTTCTGCAAAGATGAGATAAATAAATTATTTTAAAATGTACCTGCATTCAAACACTGTGTTCTGACTGCACAAGGACTGGCACTCCCATAAGGAAGCAGAATCAAACAGGTGTAGTTTGTCATGGACAGACCTCACACCGTTCCATGGCTCCTTTCTGGTCGCACCCAAAACTACAGATGCTTTTCTCAAGCATACTGAAATATAGTACCTTCCTCTCTTCCCATGCTCCTCACTCCTGCCCTGTAAATCTCTCTTAAGAGCTCCAACAAACTTATCAGCTCCTCCCCTATAACAGGCCTCTGACTTCTCTCCCATGACTTCCAAGAGCCCCACAGCTTTTCTTCTGACTTTTCAGCATCCATCCCAGGTGATCTGGTAAACAGATAAAGGCCACAACCACACCCCCCACTCACCACATATACCCAGGCATCCTTTGATGGCCCCATCACAAAATCCAACCTAGTATTAGTCTTTACGATGGACTCAGAAGTGCAATTTCTTTGCAACATCTGCATGCTTTGGAGATTAGGGGTATTCCAGAAACCACAACTCATCATGTCCCAAAGCATACAGATGCTGAAAGGAAAAAAACCAAAGGTTAGATGTGCATGAAGGAAAGCAGTGAGACTATGGAAAGATTGGAGGGGATGGAGTCATTAGATGTGGTAACTGATTATATGAATGGATTTAAAAGTAATCAAATAATTTTCACAAAAAGCATTACAGAAGACTCTCAGTTGCTCTCCTGGACATGTCCTAAGTATGTATGGTTTCACAGGACATCAGTCTTAATCTCACTATGCAGTTTGTGCATTTGTCAAATTAAGGTAGACATAGTTGGTGATCTATAGTAATTATAGTAATTTGTAATGGAATACAAATCCACTGAACACCATCAATTGTGACAGATTAACAGCTCCTTAGTGGAGAAAAGTAATTAATTCAAATAAATTAGATACCCAAAAATTTATGCAAAAGTTGGGGATAAGCTAAGCTTTAGACAACCTCAGATTGGTTCAACTCAAATATCATTAGCTACATGGCTGAGGCACCTCTTCTCTTCTATGAGCACAATTGCCCAAACTCCCTTCTAAGTTTCAGGTGGATACATCGATTGACATCAGTGATGTAACTCCGGATTTCCAACTGCATGATAGAGAATTTGGTCTTCTACTATGTCATTGTGTGAGCACTATAGTTGGGAGACCCACAAAATGACCTGTGCAATGAATAGCTATTGTGTGTGATGCCCCAATAACATGTATTATGTAAAAAACATTGTGGGTTTTGGGGAGTTTGTCCCTTAATTAACATTCTCAAGAACATTTTCTCACATGAAAAACCCTTCTCACATTTGGTATCATGGAATGTTCCACCAGGAGAGACACTAAGATGCTTTAATAGACCATCTTAAAATCCCACAGCAATTGTGAAGCTAGAGGTGAAAAACTAGAAGGAAAATAAGAATGGCATTAGGTTCTAGGAATACTAGAGTCATGTTCAAGAACTAGGGTATAATGAAAATAAAGGGAAGAGAAAAATACATTCCAACAAATTTGGTATTTTGGCCTATCCTAGCCTGCCATTTGGAAGTCTGAATTGTAAACAAAATTAAACTCTTTCTGAAGCTCTGAACAGGATAAGAACAGAAACTGTTACTTGACAAACTAGAGGCTGATACAGTCAGCTCAGTCATCAGCATGCAAAAAATCAATCAGAAATATTTTATTCTGCACACTATGACCATTTGTTCTAGTGTGCCAAAAAGAGAGCAAAATTCCAAACTACTTTGTTATACACTGTGGACATCTATTACATGACAGGCACTTGAGATGCATGATGAACCTCTGCAAGTTTTATATAGGAACCAACACAGTGCATACAGAGATCCACCCTGCAGGCCAGAGAGGAATACTTTGCTCAAAGACTGGTTCCTTGGGAAACAGAGGGGACAAAATTAGAGAATTTCTTATGAGAATTTCGCGTACCTCACTTTCACTAGTATGGCCAAGATGCTAGCTCCTCCTTCACCTTTTATTAAGGATGGCAACCAAAAACCTCCCGAGCTTTGGCACTCCAACTCCTTTTCTTGGCCAACACTGGGTTTGAGTAGTATGGCCTTTGATAAAAACTGCATCATGTTCCTCCCCAATTCAGATTAAATTTACCCTCTGCATCAGTCCTAAGGGATTAATGGGGCCTGAAGCAGTACCCAGACTATGTACTAATCTTCTGCACAGATGTGATCTTCCCCTGTGATGCAGCTCCATGCTGATGTTCCAGTAGTTGGGGAGTGACGGTTGCCCTAGTGTTCTCTGGACTCCCCATTACACTAAATCATTTACAATACTTTAGGGAAGAGTTCATTTTTGGACTGGGATGTTAAGCTCAATTTTCTTCCTCTTCCATTCCCTGTGTATTTGTTTGGTGAGAAATGCTGTGTAAGTACTGGAGGCAGTGGAAACATGATCTTTCCCTTCCTTTTTGAGCTGAGATTTCAATAGGCCAGCTCTATTGTACAGAAAAATGGTGCAAGTTCTCTGGTGCAGTCATGGCATTGGTGGAATCACTATTCTAAATGGATGTTTCTGCTTGGGAAATCATCAAACTGGGGAAGGGAGCAGGAGCCATGACTTAGCTAGAAAGTACTAAAAATCAGGTGATATTCATTGGTTGCAGGGTCTGTAAGCCCTGTCTGACAAACAGTAAAATTGGAGTTAAGGTATTATGGCAACTAGGGGCACCTGGAGCACAGCCACAGCAGGAACAGCTAAACAGGCAGTGAACACTTTTCTTTTTCCTGGTGTGAGCAGTGCTTCATAGGATCACAAATAATTTATTCTTTTGAGTTTTCAGGACTGGCTGCCCCAACACCAGAACTGCTCATTCTGTGGATTTTATTAATTCATTTTAATCACCATAAATGCATTCTAGCATAACATGTTTTATTTTCTGAAAAATGGCCTTTTCCTAGACTATATTTACCCAATTTAGATTTTAGGTAAAAAATCCTGGAAAGCTTAACTTTGAACTTAGCTTACAGATAACTATGGTCTTTCAAAGCTATGGAAATTCTGACAACCTTCTTCACAGCTGGTATTATTCATTCCATGATCACTGCTGTAAATTGTGGCAATTGCAAAGATAGAGACTGTGTTAATCCATTTGTTTTAGAACCACAGTGTGCATCTACAAATGTCATTAAGGTGATGTGATAAACTCCGGCACAGTTTGTGCCAGACTCAGCTGCTCCCAAGTGCACGTGCACCCAGAACCACAGCAGTTTAAGCCAGAGTGGAGCAGTCCCAGGCTGGCAGGGGACCCAGTGGGTTAGCCACAGACTCAGGATGGTGGGATCAAGCAGCAGAGGGCCTGGCAGGGGCATGAGGGTGCTAAAGTTCAGGTCTAAGAAGCAGGTAGCCTCATGCCCCAGACAGCCCTACACCATCTACATGTGCACCGCAGCACACGTTACTCTACAAATACTGTCCCCAACAGTACTATCCTAATAGCAGAGTTAATTAATTTACTGTGTCCTGATACTGGCACATACGTAGACAGTGATATTTCACTGTGGAGCTAATTAGTCAACTCCAGAGTAAAGCGCATGTGTAGATGCACTCACAGATTCATAGTATAGTAGGACTGGCAGGGAACTTAAGGCCAGCCAGCTCAACCTCTTTCTCAGAGCAGGATTGTCCTTAACTAAATCATCCCAGCAGAGTCTCTAACCTGCTCTTAAAAGCTTAAAAGGATGGAGATTCCCCAGTGTCTGTGGATAGCCTGTTCCAATACTTAACCATGCTCATAATGAGAAAGTTCTTCCTAACAACCAACCTAAATTTGGCCTGCTGCAATTTGAAATCAGTACTCCTAGATCTGTACCCCACAGCCACTCTCTATTTCCAGCCCTTTCATAGCCACCCTTTAGGTATTTGAAAACTGTATCAAATCCACTTTGTTTTAATTTGATGTTTTAAACAAATTATAAAAACAGGTCAATAGGGATTTGTATTGGTTAAGGATTTATCTGGCCAAGAATTTTTCTGCTTGGTGAACAGAGATTATTTTTATGTGGGGAATAGCAGGGTGAAACTTCACCATGGAAAAAACAAGTGAAAAAAATTCCCAGAGAATTTTCATGGTTCATAATTTTTGCTGCCAAAATATCAGTTTATCAGATGCAATCTCTGCCTTTCATTTTGTGGAAAAGAGGGTGTAAGAAGGGAAGAGGTAAAACCATCAAAGAAATTATTTCCTCCCACTTCTTTACCCATATTACAAACTTCTCCCCTAAGGAACAAATCCTAGTCTCTACTGTGCCATTCAAATCAGCATATAGCCCTGGTTCTGCCTTCCCTGCAAGTGCATCAAATATCATTCAATTCAACAGGGATGTCTGGGCTGAACCAGAGATGCAGGTTCAGACCCTGGATCTGAAGCTGACAACTCTTTGTTCAGCGATATAACTTGTAGCTATGTGCCACATCTGCAAGTCTGAGATTAAAGAAGGCTGCTGAAGACAATTTAGGGTGGCACCAAGATGTCTCATTAAAGAGGTGGTTGAAAGCATAACATTTTCATGTATATAAAGTAATTTGAACAGTGAAAGGAAGAAAATAATGCAGCGTACACAATAATTCTATGTTCAATGTAGACTATAACATACTCAGGTTAAGGCCTGTCAATTTTTGTCTTTCAGGTGCCATGCACACCTATGATTAGGGTGACTACATGGGACAATGTGAAATCCAGGACGCTGCCTGCCTCTGCTCCCACCCCCCATTGCAGGGAGTCAATGGCCCATTAATGACCCACTGTTCTTTACTTCACAGGTATTAACAATCACCTATGAAGTAACAGCATTAATAGGATGTCCTATTTCACAGCTCCTGCTACTGCCTCCATGCTCTGTGTCCTGGATGCTCATTTTAATTTTCACCGGCTGGCCAGGACTGCCCTCCAAACTCTGGGACTCTCCCAGCCAGTCTGGGATATATTG